CCGACTCTATTATTATAACCTGTTTAAATGTGAACAAGGGATTTACAACATTAAAGAAATCCTTTATTTATAACATGTACATGAAAAATCTAAAAGATTAGACACAACTATGGGACACGATCGTGCAGCAGCGAGCAACAGTGAAAGGAACCTCAAGGTTGTAAATGTGTGAAATTGTATAGGGCCCCATTCCTGTATTTTGCCTGGGGCCCCAAATCACTAAATCCGCCCCTGATCACAGGTCGAGAATAAGGAGAGATGACTGGCAAGACCATGCTGGAGTATTTGCTGCTCAACAGATCCTGAGCTCATTGACAAATATTTGATCTTGAAAGATGTGCTCCCTTTACACAGAGTGCGTGTGATCGCAAAATTGAAAGTGAAAGTAAGTGTTCATTCAAAAGCGATTTCAATACTCTGCATATTGTTTGCGTGAAAATTATTTACAATATCAGAATGTTTGCGGAAGCGGGATTAAAGGCCGTGATACACCAAGCCGCCTTCAAAGAACTAGCAGCGACGAAAGCCGACGATGTTGTCGCTTCACATCGGTAGCATCTGGAGCAAAAAGCTGTGCGTGCACACACCGAACAGACTACAGCTGACTGCAAACTAACACATGCATTCTCCACCTGCGTGAGAGGAATTAGCAGTCTATATCAGCAGCTATTAATACTAAATATTCGTGTTGAGCTCGAGTGCGCAGTCGAGTGCACCATCACTCGGTTACGAAAACAAAACGTTGTTCAGGGTTTATTCACCTCTTCAGCATGCTCTTTTTATTCAGCATGAACTTTTTACAAAACATCTGCATCAGCTTACTACAACATAGAAACGTAAACATGTAACAATATACGTCATCACTCCCATAGGGCCTATTTTTTTTTTTTTTCCCACAAAGGCACCCTTCATGTTTGGTTGAAATAATCCTTAAGCATGTAAATTTATAATTTCCTTCAGTTTAATTTAAATGTGCAATTAAAATAAATAAAAAATATATGTATATTTTAAAGTTTAGAATTAGACAGCCTTGCGTTGTGTAGACAATTGCATAGTGAAAATTACCCCAACGCACCACCTAGTGTCCAACCTACTCTAATACTATTATAACCTGTTTAAATATGAACAAGGGATTTATAACATTAAAGAAATCCTTTATTTATAACATGTACATGAAAAATCTAAAAGATTAGACACAACTATGGGACACGGTCGTGCAGCAGCGAGCAACAGTGAAAGGAACCTCAAGGTTGTAAATGTGTGAAATTGTATAGGGCCCCATTCCTGTATTTTGCCTGGGGCCCCCAAATCACTAAATCCGCCCCTGCCTGCTCCTCATTTCAGACGGCCGTGTGGGAATTTCACCCGAAAACTACAGCGTGACACCTCCAGCTCCACCTGCCCGCGTGCTCGAGGAGGAACTCCTGCTGACTGACTCATGTGCGGGAGGAGCGCTGAAGGTCACCACGCATTAAAGCAGCACTTCTCTCCCACTCCAGCCTGTCCTTGACTCATGTTTTCATCTGATCCAACGCCAGAACGCTTGACGGAGATCAGCAGCACCTGCTCACGTCCAGGTGGACGCAGAAAACCAGACCCACACCAGATCAGATCTGAGAGCAACTGCAGCTTTTTTTACCAGATTAACCTCCTCATACTCAATTTAACACCAATATTATTTAAAACATGCACTGCTGTTGAATCAGACAGAGCATATTCCACATGAAGCTGACATTTATGCTGTAAATCCCTAAAACAAATCATAATAATTGAAAGACTATTTATTTGCACTTTTAGTTCATTTGTCACTGCAGGAGAATTTAAAGGGTGTCTCCAGTTACCTAAAATATACTTGCACATGCATATTCATTTTAACTTAAAATCTTGGTGTTGATTTAAAAATACAAACTCCATGCATATGTTAAATATGAGCTGAAATGGACTCTGAATGTCATTTTTACATTTTAATAGTTTCCTGCATGTTCGATACTTTTTTTAATGAAGTTTATGAAGACAAAAATACCTGAATGCATCATCCACAATAAATATTCAACATCCCTAAAAACTATTTCAAACTGCGTTTTTATTACTCATTATTATTCATATTTTTATTATTCATTATTATTCATCATATTAATTGACAGACTACTTCTTTGTACTTTTGTAAGTTAATTTGTCACTGCAAGAGCATTTTAGAAACTTTCCAGTTACCTAAAATATACTTTCCGTCACACATGCATGTACATTTTAACCTAAAATCTTGATTTTGGTTAAAAAAATAAACTCCATGGACACATTTTGCATCAACCATCCATGCATTTATTAAATATGAGCTCAAATGCACTCTGAAAGTCATTTTTACATTTTAATAAAAGTTTATGAAGGCAAAAATATGTCTTCTTATAATGAATAATCCACAATATTCAGTAAGGTTGGCCTAAGTAAAACTGGTTTTGACTGTTATAATCTTCAATATGAGATGGTAAACAAGCATGCAAAGACTCGAGCTGGGCTTCATTTCTCAATCTTCTCAAGGAAGAGCAGATGAAGTTGTGAAGATGAAGATGCGTTGGAGTCTGTTTATCTCCACACTGACCTTGACGGTGCCATAAAACACTGAAGGCACCAGTTCTCCCTCTTATCACACCCGAGCATGAAATACTTTCAACACGATCGCTGCGTAACACAAACGCGCTGGACGTTTCCACACGATTCACAGAAACGCTCAGGAATGCACAACCACAGACGACTCTTAAACAACAAGACACCAACCACAACAACAGCTGAATCATGTAGCACCTACACTGTACCGCTCAGAAACAGAAATGAGAACTATCTAAGGCACGTCTGAAGAGCAGCAGAAGATGCAGGTGAAAAGGAATGCATGTACAAAAATAGAGAGCAGAAAAAAATTAAAACACAAACCCGTTTTACTTCTATAATATGACGTATTTCTGAGCAAAACTGTAGGTTTTATTACTTGATCTAAAATGTAAGTAGGACGAATGACATCTGCTGAAATTGACTGTTTTTATACTTTAATAAAAGAGACAAAAAGTCTTCTTAATACGAATTGTCCATAATAAATCCAGGTCATGTTGACTTCAGTAACTCTACTCCAGATGTTAAATAAACCTGGCAATGTATATTACGGATATTGTTGGCTCTATGTCAACATGCTTTGGTGCATTTTTGGATAAAAGCATCTGCTAAAATGCAATATAAATGTAACAAAGTCATAATCGATACAGACAAATGCACAACAGCCCAACACACATAAAGCTTCCTGACCGCATCTTGACTCTTGAAGATCATCACTAACATCACGGCAGCTGAAACAGTAAATCCATGTGAACGTGCACCAGCTGCGAGATATTTCTGACCCTCAATGTGACACACAGGGGTTTCAATTATTTTAGGTGAGGGCGAGTGCATGTGCGGGTGATTGTTCATCTGTATTTGTCTGTGTGTGTGTGTGTGTCTGTCTGTGTCTGGAGTGTGAGTGTGAGTGTGTGTGTGTGTGTGTGTGTGAGTGTGAGTGTGTGTGTGAGTGTGTGTGGGCTGTGAGAGTGGAATTGATTTTACAGCCTGACGCCCAACTGCGTGTTTAACAAGTCTCTCAGTAGATCCTCTCTCCACGTCTCAAAGACTTCGCCAAATGCCTCACCGACCAGCAAAAACCCAGAAGCGGCGACACACAGACGTCAGGCTCTGCTGCATACAGGTTTTTCCACTTCATTCACGTTAAAGCACAACTAACCTTTCCATAAACAATTGAACACCATTATTTTTTAAACACATGCGCTGGGAAAAACAGCGTTCAGATGTTGAATTAGATCTAGTATATTTGACATGTCCTGCGGTGGGACAGTGTAAAGCTAAAACAGCATTTTATAATTATTACTCATCATATTAATTCACTAATTATTTGTCTTTTTAAACGTTAATTTATCACCACTAGAGCATTTAACAGGCAATTAGAAATCTTGGTGTTGGTTAAAAAATAAACTCTGTGGATACATTTTGCATCAACTACCCACGCTGAAATGGACTCTACATTTTTACACTTTAATAAAAGACAAAAATGTCTTCTTAATATGAATCATCCACAGTAAATATTGGACATGAAGTTGACAACCTGTGGTGTGACAAAATTCCTAAAACCATGAGCGAAAACAGCATTTTATAATTATTATTCATCATATTAATTGACAGACTACTTATTTGCACTTTTAAAAGTGTATTTGTCACTGAAGGAGCATTTAATAGGCAATTAGAAACTTTCCAGTAACCTAAAACACACTTTTCCTTACACATGCATGTACGTTTTACCCTAAAATCTTGGCATTCGTAAGAAAAATAAACTCCATGGACACATTTTGCAACAACTACCCATGCTTATATTAAATATACCCTGAAATAGACTCTGAAAGTCATTTTTACATTTTTATATAAGCTCATGAAAACAAAAAATGTCTCATTTTCATGAAATGTCCACAATACATGAAGTTGACATCCCTTCAGTGTAACAAACTCCCTAAAACTATGACCTAAAACAGCATTTTTCTGATTCTTTTCTGATTACCATTCATGATAATTAACCATATCGACGTTATTATTATTATTTTAAGTTTATTTGTCAATGCAGCAGCATTTAACACGTGATTATAAACTTTCCAAAAACCTAAAATACACACACGCATGTACATTTCAACCTAAAATCTTGGTGTTGATTGAAAACAAACTCCACGGTCAAGTTGTGCGTCAACTACCCATGCATATTTTAAACGGAATGTATTTTATAGTTCTCCCCGGTGCATATTTGGCAAATGCAGCGCTGCATTTCTGACGCCCGTCCGAGAAATATTCTAAACATGAAATATGACGTACAGCAACGGGGGGTCAGACACAAACAGACACCAGTTAAACGCTGCCATCAGAACCGAACATGCGCAAAACAGCAGATGGAGATTGCAGTAAAGGCTGATACTCACCCTGAGCGGACGAGCGCAGCCACAGCACACCCAGCAGAAGCAGCAGTGGTATCCAGTGGGTCCCAACCGTCCAAACCTGAAGCTCCATCCCTGAGACTCGAGCCGCCCGCCCGCACGAACAGGGCATGGAAACACACGCACGCACACGCTGTTCCCTCCACAGTTACTCCACACTGACGGCCGGCCTGCGATGGACAGAGAGAAAGAGGGTGTTACTCTCTCCCTGCATTTGGGACGGCCCCTCCGCTCCAGACACTTTTTGGAGAGACAATAAAACCAGCAGTTGATCTCTGCGGTTTAGCCGGGACCCCAGCGGACCCTCCTCACGCCCCACGCTGCTCACACACAGGGGAGGGCCTTCCGCTGAAAGGAGGCCAGGGGCGGGAGGGGCAGCCGTGTGAGCCCCAAAAACAGCCTCCAGCACTCGGTGGGCCGCCTGTGGGCTCAGAGTCACATGACTACAGCGCCTGAACTCCTGCTGCACTGACAAACCAACACCAGTGGTTTAAAAGTCAGTCTGGATTGATTTATTAACTGGCACTAATTTCATGAAAACAAGTGAGTGGAGTTTGCCTGTGCAAAACTGGTTGCCAGGGTGTTGCTAAGCAACAAACAGGGAAACCAGCAACAAATACAAACCAGTTAGGATTAAAACAATCTGTCTTACATTTCCTAAACAAAATGTGAGCGGTGTTTGCCTGCGCAAAATGCACCACATTAATAATAGGGTGTTATGGGTGGTTGCCAGGGTGTTGCTAACCAACAAACAGACAAACCAGTAAGAAAAAAAAAAAAGAGTGAGTGGTTTTCACCTGTGCAAAACTCAACACATTAATAGTAAGGTGCTATGGGTGGTTGCCAGGGTGTTGCCAACCTCTAACGGACAAACCAGCAAAAAATACAAACCAACTATAGTTAAAATTCAGTTAGGACCGTTTTATCTACTCTTTTTCATTTCACAACGAAAATGTGAGTGGTGTTTGCCTGTGCATAACTCATCACATTAATTACTGGGTGTTATGGGTGGTTGCCAGGGTGTTGCTAACGAACAAACAAACCAGCAACAAATACATACAGCATTTTAAAATAAGTTAGGATTGTTTTAACTGGTCTCTGATATTTTAAAAAGTAAATGTGAGTGGTGTTTGCCTGTGCAAAACTCACCAAATTCACGAAAGTGTGTTATGGGTGGTTGCCAGGGTGTTGCTAACCAACAAATGGACTAACTAGTAACAAATTCAAACCAACTATAGTAGAACAAAATCAGTTAGGATTGTTTTAACTATCTTTCTAATTTCATAAAGAAAATGTTAGTGGTGTTTGCATTGAGGGTTGTGGGTGGTTGCTAACCAGCAAACAGACAAACCAGCAGCAAATAAAAAACAACCATTCAGTTAGGATCGTTTTAACTAGTCTCTTTTATTTTGTAAACAAAATATGAAATGTTCGAATATGACAAATAGGGTGGTGTTGTTGCTGAGGTGTTGTGGGTAGTTGCTAGGGCATCTCTATGCAGCTGCCATGGTGTTCTGAGAGGATGATACAATGTTACTATGCGGTTGCTAAGGTGTTCTGAATTACTTTTAGGCGTGTTGCTAGGCATTGCTACACAGCTGCAACAGTGTTTCAAACCTTTATCATGTTGCTATGCAATAGCTAGTATGTTTTCCATACAGTTCTGGGGTTTAGCTGGTTAAATACTAAGCTTTAATATTTAGAGGTTTGTTCACGTCATTATAAGCTCTCATACAAGTGGTGGTTGAGGAGATTCCCCCGCTTTCATGTAAAGCGCTTTGAGTACCCAGAAAAGCGCTATATAAATGTAACAAATTATTATTATTATTAGTGATAAATGGCCTATGCTTAACAGCATTTTAAACTGCAACTGAAAAAAACATCATAGTTTATGAAATAAATCTCCATGTAGTTTGACATCAAAAACATGAAAGCAAATGACACACCATGTATTCTCACTCAAAGTGCTGTAAGAACTAGTTCCTGCCGGGTCGGTTAAGCATTTCCTCCTTTCCCCTGTAGGGTGCCAGCGGCTGATTGACAGCTCATTATGGCTGGGATAAAGAACACAAAGCAGCAGTGAAAACACACAAGAGCATAAAGAGTGCATGACAAAATTATGCTTAACAGCATTTTAAACTGCAACTGAAAAAAACATCATAGTTTATTAAATAAATCTCCATGTAGTTTGACATCAAAAACATGAAAGCAAATGACACACCATGTATTCTCACTCAAAGTGCTGTAAGAACTAGTTCCTGCCGGGTCGGTTAAGCATTTCCTCCTTTCCCCTGTAGGGTGCCAGCGGCTGATTGACAGCTCATTATGGCTGGGATAAAGAACACAAAGCAGCAGTGAAAACACACAAGAGCATAAAGAGTGCATGACAAAAGCCATTCACACATCAGGTGATGGCGGGACTCACCTCGGGCCGCGACACGCCCCCATCACCCTAATCTCACCGACACATACAACTTAAGCCGATTAAGAGTTAGTGCCATTACTGAGATTACATCAAGAGCACTGAGATTCACATGAGAAACGAGCAGAACCTCACATGTTCAGCAGATCAGACCACTGAAGAAAGTGATCAGACGTGCCTGCTGGACCTGAAAACAGGTGAAAAAATCCCACATCTAGAGACCAGAAGATCACAGAGACTCGAGGGTGCAGGACACTTTACATAAAGATGAATATTGGATATATTCTTTGATCAATATTCATACTTTTCTACTCAAACTGTTATTGGTTCCTTAATATTGTGTATTGTGTCTACCGATAAATTGCAAAATCTTGGTCCAAATTTCCTTTTGGAAACATTTCAATTCATCATAACTGACTTAGTTTGTCAACATTATTATTATTAGTAGTAGTATTAATCATAATAATTTAATAATTAATATTATTATTGTTGTTTTTGTTAAATAAAATAATAATAATAAAAATATAAAAACACATAGCGCATAAATAAAACACACATAAATAAAATAAAAACAATAAAATACATAATAATAATAATTGTTGTTGTTGCTGCTGACGACGTTGTTAGTAATAGTATTAGTACTATTAATATTAAAAATAACAATTGTTGTTTATTATTATTATCATTATTTATTACTATCTTTATTATTTGTGCCAAAAAGTTTAAATAAAACAATTAAATTCAACAATAACAATAATGATAAAACACATAATAATAATTTAAAAAATAAATGAATAAATATTAACACACATTGCATGTTTTTTTTGCTGTAATCTATTACTAATGTTTATTAATGTTTATAATTAGTGTTAATAATATTAATGATAAACATTAATATTATTAATGTTTATTATTTTGCCAAACAGTATAAATAAAACAATAATTAAAATAATAATAATAATAAATAAATTTTACACGGAGACAATATTAAAATAATCAGTGTTGGTATCTGTCATAAAATTTCGGTCAATCTCTACTAAGTAAATTAGCACCTTAACATCTGCAAGGCAACATTCTTATTTACTTCAGTAAATGTAAATCTAAATAAAATATAAAATTCCATATGAATATGAATGTATTTTATTAGCATTATTCCCGCACTGTCACTCTCCTCTGACGCATGTACCACAGTAACCTCGATCTGAACTCAAAGATGAGATCTTAAACTCAGCGATCAATCACCACACATTTCCTCCGACGCTCCACACTTTCCTCTTTCTCCGGCCGTGGCGCTGTGAAGGCGGGAGTAAATGAATGTGTGTATGTGTGTGTGTGTGTGTGTATGTGTGTGTGTGTGTGTATGTGTATGTGTATCTGTGTGTGTGTATGTGTATGTGTGTGTATGTGTGTGTGTGTGTGTGCGTGCGTGTGTGTGTGTGCATGTGCATGTGCATGTGCATGTGCATGTGCATGTGCATGTGCATGTGCATGTGCATGTGCATGTGCATGTGCATGTGCATGTGCATGTGCATGTGCATGTGCATGTGCATGTGCATGTGCATGTGCATGTGCATGTGCATGTGCATGTGCATGTGCATGTGCATGTGCATGTGCATGTGTATGTGTGTGTGTGTGAGTGTGTGTGTGTGTGTGTGCATGTGCGTGTGTGTGTGTGTGAATGGATGTTTGTGGATGAGCTAAAAACAAAGAGAAAGTGAGAGCGGGAACAATAGTGTGGGCTGCTGGGAGTTCAGTGGGGCGGCAGTGATGTGACTGTGGCACTGGCGCTGTCAGCGCTTGTTTGGTGTGATTACATGCGATCGGGGCGAGCTCTCGGGAAGCTGTGAGTAGGTCAGGCCTGCTCACACACTGGCCGCGAGCTCCATCAAACGCCCAGCGTGAGGCCCGCTGCTGAGAAATGGGCCGTCTGGGGGAAAGAGGGCTTTTTATGCTTAAGAAATACTAGGAATATAGCACACAAGTCATACGGATTGTTTCTAAGCTGCCTTTACTTTCGTCATGTTTGGTCTGCTTCTACTACATGAAATAAAATAGTATGAAAGTTCTGCTAAATGTCTCCTTTTGTGCTCTACAAAACACAGAGAGTTACACAGATTGGCAATGGCGTGAAGGTAAATCATTATTTTTGGGTGAACTATCCATTTAAGTGGTTTTATTATAGTTGGAACTATAATTAGCCAACAAACCCTTGGGCAAAACACACAAAAGCTGCAGTTAGTGTTCCCTCACGGACATGAGGTTCAGAGTCTGTGTGGATTTACGGCCAGACGACTCTGTCGCTCACACACAGCTGGAAAATCTGTGAGACAACCGCAAAACTCACGACTCAAGGGAGGAACAAAGGACGCGGGCACAAGCGGTCGCGATGGCACGGACTCTTGAATTACAATGTTCAATGTACAATTACATTACAATGTACAATGAGCGATGTTCCGCCTGCCACTGTGAAATTTCAACAGGGGATTTTCTGCCGCGCTTTTTTTCCTCCGCCTTCAGCGGTCGTTGAGAGTTCGGTCACGGAATCTGGGAAAGACATTCCACTTCCTATGAGCCAACAGCTGCACACAGGTGGGAAACCCAATCGGATCGCAGCACCCGACGCCATTAGACCATCGGCATCTCCGGACCATCCTTCAGCTCTCAACACCTCCTGATCTGCACTTACAACAGCGATCTCTCCCTGCCGTCTCAGACACAACATTATAAACATTTGATTATCCTGTATCC